ACCCCGGAGGTACCGAAGAATCCGTAATAAGACAGCATAGTGTACAGAACGTGGGGCACTAACAAATTGACTGACAATACCAACAGCATGAGAGATATCTGGTCGAGAGATGCACAAATAGACCAACTGACCAACAAGATGTCGATATCGGGTAGGATCAGATAGAGGCTCACCGTCAGTAGAGCAAAGTTTGACATTCTGCTGGAGTGGAGTATCGACAGTTGTATTATCAGTTAACTCAGCTTGATTTAGAATATCTGAGAGATACTTCTGTTGAGACAGTAATACACCCCGCGGGCCTTGAGAAATTTCTAGACCAAGGAAATACCGAAGAGATCCAAGATCCTTCATGTGGAACTGTTGTTGCAACTGAGATTTTGCGTATTGTATACCTGTCATATCATCACCTGTAATGATCATATCATCTACATAGATGAGTAATAAAACCCTGCCACGCGATGTAGTGCGAACAAACAGAGAAGCATCTTGATGACTTTCTATAAAGCCCGCTTTGAGCACAACATCGCGAAAACACTCAAACCAAGCGCGGGGTGCCTGTTTGAGACCATAAACAGCACGACGAAGGAGACATACATGTCCCGGAGGAATATTTGACCCTGGAGGCGGTTGCATATATACGGTCTCTGATAAAGAGCCATGAAGAAAAGCATTTTTGACATCCATCTGGTATAAGGGCCAACGATGAGCAGCAGCGACCGCAAGGAGAGTACGCACAGTGGGCATCTGAGCAACAGGAGCAAAGGTCTCCTCATAATCAATACCTTGTTGCTGAGTAAAACCTCTAGCCACTAAACGAGCTTTTCGACGTTCAATGGTGCCATCAGGACGAAACTTGACCTTATAAACCCATTTACTGCCAACAAGAGAGATCCCAGGAGGACAGGGAACAATATCCCAGGTATGAGTTTGCTGAAATGCTTGAAATTCCTCAGCCATAGCTTGTCGCCACTCTGGAATTTGAACTGCCTCTTGGAAGGACTTTGGCTCAACAATAGTATGAATGGCAGCAAGAAAGTTATGAAAGATAGGTGAATAAGAAGTAACAGAAGCATACCGGGCAGGCATGACATGTGGGCGTTTGCCTCGACGAAGAGCAAGAGGAACCTCAGGCGGGGGAGATGCTGGCGCAGGTGCATGAAGATCAACAGTATTTTCTGGAGTGAGAGTTGTGTCCACAGGATATGGATTAGATGGTGTAAGAGAAGACTCAGGTGAGGAAGAGTCAACAGAAGGAGAGGGAGAGATGTCAGGGAGATCTCGAAAGGAAAATTGAGGTGAAGAAGTGGGTGATGCAGTGGACGGGGAAGCATGATCGGTAGAGTGGAGGAAATTAAAGTCATCAGAAGTAGAATAATATGGAGAATCCTCTTCGAACTGAACATGACGAGATATATGAACTCGACGAGTTGCGGGATCATAACAACGATAACCTCGATGTTCTGAACTAATTCCTAAATAAACACAAGAAACTGCTCTGGGAGACAATTTATCACGTTCGTGAGATGGCAGAAAAACAAAACATCGACAACCAAAAACGCGAACTAGATCATAACGGGGAGGATGAGTATAAACACGACTATAAGGAGTAGCACCGGAAAGAGAGCTAGATGGAGTGATATTAATGGCATGAGTCGCGGTGAGAATAGCCTCAGCCCAGAAACGACGAGGAACAGAGTAAGAAATGAGCATTGATCGGGCAGTATCGAGGATATGACGATGTTTGCGTTCAGCAACACCATTTTGCTCATGAGTGTAGGGACATGACTGTTGAAAGATAGTCCCATGAGAGGACATGATAGAGCGCATGGCAGAGGATAGGTACTCTTTGGCACAATCAGAACGAAAAACTTTAATACGAGATTGCCATTGAGTGAAAATCATAGCAGTGAAGGCTTGATAAGCAGTAAGTACGTCAGAGCGATTCTTAAGTAGGTAAACCCATGTAAAACGAGAGAAATCGTCGATAAAACTAACATAATATAAGTAGCCAGATGAAGAAGGCAAAGGAGCTGGCCCCCAAATATCAGAATGTACTAAATCAAATAAGGAAGTGGATACAGATGTACTCATTTTAAATGGTAAAGCAGTGAATTTAGCCAATTTGCAACCAGCACATGACTCAATACTAGAACTAGATGATACAGGACCAAGTACTCCAGACTGAATAAGACTCTCCAGCCTTTTATTACACACATGACCAAGTCGTCTATGCCATAAATTGGCAGGAAGCGAGGTAGAGGGTTTTGACGAACAAAGAGAAGCAACAAGAGAACGTGGACGTATGGACTCTGGAAGGTGAAGATATTCCAGAAAATACAGTTTGTGCCTCCTACGACCCGCCCCAACCGTCTTGCCCGTCTGTGGATCCTGCACAATACAAGTATCAGAAGAAAATGAGACAAACAGGCCCGCCATGCATAAAGAGCTAATAGAAATTAAATTCAAGCACAATTGTGGAGCCACATAGACGGGACCAAGTGTTAGACGACCAGATGGATCATTTTGTGGGGTAATAGAGCCATACTGAGTAATGGACAATGGTTGTCCAGCAGCTGTGTAGATAGGAGGAAGAGAGGATGAAGTAAAGACAGAGGATAAAAGTGAGGCATTACAAGTCATATGAAAGGAACAACCAGAGTCAAAAATCCAGAGATCATTCATACCAGAGACTGAAGGATTAGCTGAAGAACCAGCAAAATGCATACCAGAGAGTTGTGCGGCGGATGTAGAGGTGATATGTTGAAAAGCATCAAGTTGACGGCGAAGACTTTCAATAGCTTGAATAGTAGAGTCTGAAGTAGTAGAAGGTATAGCATTGGCCAACAATCCTGGTGTACGAGAGGGTTGAGACTGAGGGGGTCGCCGACCACGTCCAGTACCTGAGGAACGTAACTCAGGATGAAGCTTGAAGCATGTCTCAATGCGGTGTCCTTCCTTCTTACAATATTTGCAAGAGAGCTTAGATCGAGCCTGTGGAGAGGGAGCCTGTGGAGAAGTATAATTCATAACAGGAGCAGTGACAGGTACAGACAAAACAGTCTCGAGTGAAGAGGTAGGAGTGTCTGTTGACAAATTGAGTCGTGCTGTCTGCTGCCGGGTCTCATAAGCAGTGAGAGCTCCCATAACTGAGGCCAAAGTCGGAAATTGAGGCTGGTGAAGTAGTTGATCAGCCATAGTTGAATATTCAGGAAGGGACTGAAACAATTGATGCACCTCATGCCGTTCGTACCAGGCTAGCCAGTCTTCATATGTGGAATTACGTCCAGGAAGCATGGAGCGTAACTCTGTCCAAAAAGCTTGCATTTGTCCAAAATGGGACTGCAGAGATGAACTACCTTTGCGTTGTAGAGAAATGCGTTGCAGAAGATATGCCTCCCGTGCACCCGAGCACTCAGTGAAACGCTCAGTGAGACGAGTCCACATGGCCTGAGCAGAGGGAAGCGAGCCAATCTCGACAGTGAGACCAGAGCCAACACAGCGAGTGAGATAATCCATAACACGAAATTCCTGCAATTGCCACTCTGAACTCTCCTTGACATAGAGAGCACGAGCAGTCTGAAGATCGACATCACCACTGCCAGAGGCAATAGTACTGGATGAAGCAACAGTGCTGATGGACGGTGGAACTGGTCCCGTACTGGTGAGATGATCAAGCAAACCAGCGCCACGCAAGGCATTGGTGACAATGGTGGACCACCCTGCCCAGTCACTTTGATCATTGAGGGGCAAAGGTGGTTTGGGAATCTTCTCTGAAGGAGCCATAACAGCAATCTTGAGACGTTAAGATGTCGAGATGCTGTTACTAATGTCGTTCGTTTGAGGCCGAGAGACGGCTTGAAACGACGATGCCGTTAATTTGAGACCGAGAGACGGTCTTGAAACGACAATGCCGTTAAAATAGAACCCGAAGGTTCTTGAAACGACAATGCCGTTAAAATAGAACCCGAAGGTTAGAATGAAACCCGAAGGTTTAAAATAGAACCCGAAGGTTAGAATGAAACCCGAAGGTTTAAAATAGAACCCGAAGGTTAAACGAGAACGCGAAACGCGTTAAGAGGCCGCAAAACGACAAGGCCAAAATATCTGGCAGATGAACACCAAATAATTAAAAATAAAAATAAAAAAAATAAAACATTAAACGGCTGCAAAGCAATAAGGCCAAGATTTGGCAAAAGAACGCAAAAGCGTTAAAAATTTTATTGAAAGGGAAATAGCCCTAGCTCTGATACCATGTTAAAGTAAGAGAGAGAGAGAGAATCTTGGGTAAATTTCCCTTAAATTGAATATTGAGTGTGCACATATATTTATACAAGTAGAGGAGTGTGAGGTTTGTTCTCCCAAGCAATGTGGGACTAAAACCCACTACAATACACTATTATCAACAATTCTTAATCCAGATTTTAACTCATTCAGCACATTCTTCTATGCATTCACCTACACATGTTAAGATATAAATTTCTTAATCCATAATTGTGAAATTATTAATTTTTCATTCACTTTTAAAACGAAACAGGCCGACTTGTTTGGACAGACCTGCTTATATGTTGGTTCCAATTTGGGTAGTAAAAATTTAAAAAAATTTAACAAGAATAAAAAAAAACAGAAAAGAGACAAAAGAGCACTTTGAAACGATCATTCTCTATATGAAATCTCACACAATGTCCATATCACATTATCAATTTTTTTTTATCCTCATTAATATCCATAAACGTGATTAATATCCATCATCAACATCATCATCATAGCTAAAACATAACAATCCATCATCAACATCATCATCATAGCTAAAATATAACAAGAGAAATAGAAATAAAATCAGCTTTATGTCATTTTATTTATGCAGAAGCATTATTACATCTAACGAAACAAGTGCATCCTCTCTTTGACCGAAACAAAGAGTTATGAAAACAAGCCCTCCAAATTCTTGAAAAAAAAAGGACCTAGTAAACATATAATAAGCAAAAACGAACACAAAACAACACCGCGCCCTGCGCCATCTGCTTCGCTTGCTCCGCAGTCTGCATTACATTAACGTGATCCAACACATCGATTTTATCAGCTTTATTTATTACCAGAGAATCTATTTTAAACAACAAAAGCGAAGGCCGAAGTGTAATTGTTGGAGAGTGCGGGGGCATTTGTGGGAACCTGCTGAAGAAATCCGGCGGCCTGCTCCTTGCTCTCCTGGGCCGACTGGGCCGCACCAGACCTGTGGGCCTGAAGGCTGTCAGCTGAACCCATTAGCTGGTCGGCCTGAGCCTGTACCCAAAAATAATAATGAAAAAAAAATAAAAAGCCAGATTCTAACAAGCCATCATAACTAAAAAGGCCCAGAAGGGTTCCTTTTTTTTTTTTGGGTCCAGATATTAGTCCCTTAAGTCGGTTTTCAAATGAGACACTCGAACCAATGAAATTCCTGTGGGGCCTCTGGAAAATATTTAAACTCATCTCTCCATTCAGGATATAATAAAAATTGTGAGACCTAACAGTAATTTTCAAATGATTCGACAGGGTCATTTTGAAATATTGAAGAATTAAGGGACTAATATTAAAAAAAACCCCCACAGAAATCGACTTCCGCGAAAAGAAAATCGGAGAAGCTCACCGCACCAACTCCACGTGCATGGCCGGCATTGAATTGGTTCTGAGTGTTCGACATTTTTTGTTTTTGAGAAAATAAAAGAGAGAGAGAGAGAGAGAGAGAGAGAGATTATGGATTCGATTGTATTGGCGAATATGGCTTCGTGTTGCTGCGTTATATAGAGAGAAAGGACGGTTATACATCGCAACGTGGCATGCTATTATAAGAAATTACACGTGTCAAAGGTTGGCGTGTTGAGACCCGGTAATTTTGCTTTTGACAAGGTAAAATCTGTTATTAATCACTCGGTGCGAAATAGGGGTAAGTGCTGGATGTGTATCCTCAAAAGATTAGAAATTGTTTGATTTTGGAATTAGTTGCATGAGGTACTCGTGTTATTGCACGGGTGACCCTTGGTACTGTTTGGCAATCAAAAAAAGTGTCTTATCTAAGAGCTTGTGTCTTATTGACTTGGTCAATAAGCTAGTAGAGCTGTTTGGTGACCAAAAATTAGAGAAAATTATTTTAAAGATTGTGTCTTTTGCAAGTAGCTTTTGGAAAGCTATCTCAAGTAGCGTTTGTCTTTGGGAAGGAGCTGTCAATTTTTTTCTTCCGTTTTTGCCCCTAATAATTCTAATTTTATATCAATAATATTGCATGACCTTTTTAGTTATTTAATAAATTTAAGCTAGTTGTACAGCTTCTTTTGCCAAACAGCTCTAGTCAATTAGCTAGCTACATAGCTATCAGTTTTCAGCTATAATTTCACAGCTTTCAGCTTTCAGCTATAATTTCACAGCTTTCAGCTAGCTTGACAGCTTTCAGCTATAATCTCGCAGCTTTCAGCTAGTTTTGCCAAACAGAGCCAAGTCTGGGTGTCTACGTGGATAAGCTTAAGAATACTGATTGTATCCCATGATCACTCATGCAATCACAATCAGTGATCTCAAAGTTATCGATATAGATATGAAGACCTCGAAGTCGCCTATTCGATCTATAGTTTAGAAAATGTACGTGTATATTTCATAAACCAAATGCAGAGCCAGACAGCCTCAGTTTACATAGCATTAATTTCTTGAATTTAATCTTAAAGATATATAATGGTAATTTGACCTCTATATATAACATTGTTACTCCAGGTACAAACTAATCCTTTTTTGTCGCAAAATGAAAACCTGTCTAATCAGTTTTTCATTTTACACCTGTTTTTAATTTAAACAAACAAAAAAGAGGAAGGTAATTAAAAGACTTAAATTTATTAGTTAAATCATAATACAATTTCAATTATAAAGGGAAATTAGAATAACAATCTATGTTTCGAGAAAAGAAAAGCTACCAATGATCTAACCGTGATTTCCCGTTTGTTTTGTCAATAAACTTTTATAAATTGTTTTTTTTTTGTTGCTACCATAGATCGATGTCAAATTTCACTTCTACTGACGTATGTATCTGTAACTCGATAAATTAAGTATCTCCAGTGCATCAAGAGCCAATCACAAGTTGACGCGTGCACGAGTGAATCTACCTTCACCCAAATCTTCCTAAAATCAAAACTATCCGTAAATTGTTGGAAATCAAATCTATCTCTATCCACAATTTAATTTAAAAGAAAAAATATCTGAAGTCAACAAATTCCTTTCTTATGTTTCTTTGTTTTATATATATCTCTCTTTCCTGTTTCTAGGCTGTATCGATCGTGCTTCTTTTCCAAAAGAAAAAAAAAAAAAGGGAATTCGTACGTCTTTTCTTTCATGCATGTTTTATCTCTACCCGGTTAATTTTTTGTGCGTAGCTTAATTAATTTTTTGGCTCGTAAATTAAGATGACAAGGGATTGGTCCGAGCTTCCTCAAGAGTTGCTAGAACTGATTGCCTCCAAGTCCGACGATATCTCCGACCACGTCAGGTTCGGTGCGGTCTGCACCTCGTGGAGATCTGCGGCACCAAACCGCAACATCAGACAGAACCCTTGGATCCGAGGATACAACATCGAAGCATCGCGTTGTGGGTGGTTATTGTTGGAAGGAGGAGGGAGGATTTTCCTCTTCAATCCGCTCGCCAAGGCTCAAACCGCCCTCCCTCGGTTTCCCACCGAACGACGACGCGGTCGGATCCTCTACGCGCACGTATCCTCTCATCCTCTCTCAGACGACTGCGTGATAGTGTGTAGGGTGGAGTCCCGTCGGCGGATGCTCCTGGTGTGCGTACCGGGTGACAGCGCGTGGTCATCGATTGATATTCCAATTCCACCTGAAGAAGTCGAAGAGGAACGCGACGACGAGATCATCTGCCGCGAGGGATCAGGACGCCTACCCACCATCTACTGCCCTTTTCTGAATACTACTTCGCGCTTCTTCGGAAGCGCACGTGCTCCCCGAGGGACTCGGTATACCATACCCTATTCGCTGCATTATTACTGCGGTTGGTCCGCGCCCCGTGGCCTATCCGAGGCAGCGCCAGGCGTGCTGGTGGTGATCGGTTGTTACGTCGGAGAGAGTCCGGTCATCTCCTGCATTCTCAAGGTGGATTACGATCAACGCGAGATCACGGGTGTGGAGGACGTTCGGGGGCTTTGCCGTGTTTGCGTCTAATTAGTTATGATTATCGTCAATGCGCGTGTTTTCACGCTAGTCATCATTACCCTTTTTGCTAGCTGAAGATGAGATCGAGACCGTGCGCATTCACTCTATATGTTCACGATGGGGGATATGATGGCGTATGACAATATTGCAACGCGAAAAGAGCTGGAGACTTTGGTTAAGACTGAGATTTACAGATTCTTTTTGCTTGCGTATTCTTCGTAGCATCTTATAATTAATGCGTTTCTTTACTTATTAGTCAAAAACGTAGTTACCACGTTGAAGGTTTTCTTATTCATTTGTTTGATATTTATGTTCTTCGAATAATTATCATATTTTCATGTTACTTTTTATGTCATGATTTTAGGGTTTTTGCGCGACACAGCTCCTTGCCCTCCGCTTCAAAATTGTTGTGCGTATATCTAGTATAAACCCAAAATTTAGCATTTCCCCCCTTATTCTTTTCTTTTCAGGAGCATTACCAGTCTGCAACAACCCCTTTCCTAAAGGGCATAAGTCAAAAGTGATGCAATTTTATAAATTTCCGACGGGAAAGAATTATCTCCAGCAAAATATATTCATTCAAACTAGAATTCACTGGAAGAACTGAAAACAAGTAGTAAATATTACATTTAAGATCCTTTTATTATGGAACCCAATCAATAGAGTGTTTCAGATCAATGGGAGATTTCATCTTATACATTGGTGCAGTATATGAATTTTTACATGTCACGCCCCGAAACTACAGCGGAAATTCATAAAATACGAAGTGCGCGACAGCAGCGACCCGTGCACGAGACTAGTCTTATACACGGATCAAGCCTGACACTTCATATCAGAGGGGTCGGATGAAATTATAATGATTTCTGAAGGTGATGAATCAACTAGAATAACTTCTACTGCTATATCCTCGTCCTCAGCATGATCAACCACAAATTCTGATGAATCTATCATAATAACTTCTACGAACTCGATCTCCGATGACTCTGGGGTCATATGGTTAGCTACTATCAAGCTTGGGTCAGTTTTATCAGAAGTATATCCTCAATCTCATAAGCTGGGTTCCCAGAAGCTATCTACAGAAATCATAAAGCTGGATGGGGTAGATGATGAACTGGAAGATGAATTGGTTCCCGCCATCCTACAGAAAGGGGAACCAATTCATCTTCCAGTTAATCATCTATCCCGTCCAACTCTATGATTTCTATAGATAGCTCCTGGGAACCCAGCTTAAGAGACTGGGGATATACTTCTGATGAAACTGATCCAAGCTTGATAGTAGCTAACCATATAATCCCAGACTTATCGGAGATCGAGCCCCTATGAATTATTATGATAGATTCATCAAAATCTGTGGTTGATCATGCTGAGGACGAGGATATAGTAATAGAAGTTATTCCAGTTGATTCATCACCTTCAGAAATCATTATAATTTCATCCGACCTCTCTGATATGAGATGCTAGGCTTGACCCGTGTATAAGACTTGTCTCGTGCACGGGTCGCTGCTATCGCGCACCCCGTATTTTATGAATTTCCGCTGCAGTTTCGGAGCGTGACATTACACATATTGCTGGTTCTCCATCAAATGGTGATTAATGGAAGTGCCCAAATCAGCGATATAACAGTGAGCGGATGGGTTTACTGCCAACATACTGCATGTAAAGCAAAAGAGAGAAAAGTAAAATAGTTAGACATCTGGCAAGGAAAATGGAAAATGACAATAGAGGAATATGCTAGAAATTAAGCATGTTTTTTAAGTGTGCAAAGAGAAAACACAGAAACAGGCATGGAACTGAAAATTATGAAGAGAGAGAGAGTGAGGACAAGTATTCTTCCTTCTTGATCATAGACCGACGCTTGAACATTTATCAACAAACAGAAGTATTTCTTTCCGTAAAGCCCTAGTCAATTGCGATGATGGTTTGAATTCTTAGAACTGATGCACAGGAATGCTTACCTTAGATTTCCGCTAAAATAATGGTTGCCTGATCCTGCAAAACCTCCCAAGCTGCCTTAATATGTGTTTCTTCTGTCAGTGGTGCTCCAACTGCGAATCTGAGGACAAACTTGCCGGATAAAACCTGACAGTGCCAGAGGCTTTATAGTTAACAAAGTATCCAAGGTAATGCTAGCAGAACTAAGATACGTAACACCTACTGTATGTGATAGAAAGATTTTTCCACTAAAGTTGACAGCATCCAGCAAGTTGTAGTTCAGTTTATAGCCATCATCTTGATGATCTGGTTGAGGAAGAAGACGGAAGCAAACAAGCGAAAAGGTTCGTGGGGTGACAACCTGTTCACATTTACAGAGCAAGTATTTATATGCACATAGTTTTCATACATGACCCTGACATTCTTTATGTGAAAAGAATGAGAGCAAACACACAAAATACACGAGTACTTTTTCTCTATTGTTGTTGTCATATGAATTTGCTGCTTTATGAGTTTGCACGTGGATGTAACTAAATGCAAAATATCATGGTTACCAATGCTCAAGTTGTCATATGATTGCATCATAAAGCAAATTACCTTAATTGATGAG